GAGTGTGAAGAGTTTGCGGAGATCTAAATGTCGCCCGAATTAACCCTGGGCAACCCCACTTCACTTTGCCCGTCTCATTTTCCGTCGGTAACACCCGAAGGTCACATGGTTGCCTTGCCATTCACGAAGGACCAGTCAGAGTCAAAATAACGCAACAATCACGTTCACTTTGCCATGGGACTATGACAGAGAAAGGCGCAATAAAAGCTATTGACAAGACTTCGGTGCATCGAATTACATCTGGTCAAGTGGTTATAGACCTCCAAACTGCGGTGAAGGAGCTAGTCGAGAACAGTCTCGATGCTGGAGCCACAAATATCGGTCAGCAGACGCATCTTTGTGAAAGTTTCTCTTTTGACGCGTTCAAAGAGGTTCGATTCAAACAACACGGGTTGAAGAGTATCGAGGTTATCGACAATGGCTCTGGGATTCCAGAACAATACCATGACAGTGTTGGTGCGTCAATGCGCGTCTTGTATACAAAATGACTTACCTTTTGTGTAGCGCTCAAGCACCACACGTCTAAGCTGTCGAAATTTTCAGATCTTACCACCATGCAGACGTTTGGTTTCCGTGGAGAAGCACTGTCTTCGTTATGTGCCTTGTCAGAAGCCTTAGTCGTGAATACTACCGTTGCACCACCCATGGGAGTTTCTTTAGAGATGGACGCGAGTGGGAAAGTGGCAAAGAGGTCGAAGATTGCGCGGCAGGTCAGTGTCAAGAATACCTCTGTTCTTCACTTACCCAATGAATCATTACACAGCGAGGAACCACCGTTTCCGTGACAAACCTTTTCAAGCCCCTTCCTGTCCGCAGAAAAGAGTTTGAGAGGAACGTAAAACGCGAGTTTGGGAAGGCGCTTGGGTTGTTGAACGCGTATGCAATGATTGAAACAGGGGTTCGGTTTACCGTCAACAACGCTGCAGATAAAGGGTATGTCCTCTGAGATGTAACACCGACTCGGCCTCATTACATGTAAGCCAGAAAACCGTGCAACTTCGGACTACTGGCGCCTCATCTCCTCGGGCTGTTGTCTCCGAGTTATGGGGTCCTAGAGCGCTCGAAAACATTGTTACTCTCGACCTGAGCTTTGAGGTTGACAGAGACAAGACTTCGTTAAAAAGGACTTCTGGGTAATTTTCATTCAAATTGATCTAGCCCCTTTTTTTTCTAAGCGACTCCGCAGCTATGATGTTGATTTGGATCCTATCACGGTGTCTGTCAAGGGCCTCATCTCCAAGTTTTCCGTCGGAGGAGGAAGAAGTGGTACCGATCGCCAGTTTTTCTATGTCAATGGTCGCCCATGTAATTTGAACAAGGTGGAGATATTCGTTCTGTAATTTGGCTTATATATGACGCCTGAAGCAGATTCAAAAAAGTTTTAACGAAGTCTACCGGTCGTTTAACGCTACCCAAGCTCCCTTCATCCTTGCTGACTTTATCATACCTCCTGGTACTTGTTCCTTCCGAGTCTTTGAATTAGCTCTCAACAAATACAATCATTCTTAGACTCATGCGACATTAACGTCAGTCCCGACAAGCGGACTATCTTTCTCTCCAGTGAAAACAACATAATCTTGAAACTCAAGGTGGTTTTATTCCCTAAACGCTCGATTCATCACTAACGCTTCTTTACCATGTAGACATGCCTAGAAGAGACTTTTGCCCCCTCGCGGTCTACATACGATGTTGGTACCCCGCAGAGCCAGCGCTCAATGGTACAAGCTACACTACCTGTCCGACCGTCGACGCAGAAACGGACGCGCCCTGATCCAGAGGAAGTTGATGGCAGAAATGATGATGAAGAGGATGAAGAGGAAGAGCCGGGACCGAACAAGAGACGGTTGATTCGACGGTCTTCATCTCTACTGACAGATGGCACCGGCGACAAGGAAAAGCAGAATCCGACGTCACACCTGCCCGTTGATCTGTCTCCGGCGAGCAGTGAACACCGATTATCATCACACGGTCGTGCATCAATGACCGAGCGATCTCCTCACGTTCCTTCGCCAAATACGTCACGGAGTGCTTCTTCCAAAGCCAAACTTCCAAGCCCACCTCCATCTCCACCTGACCCGTCGCTCATTGCACCCGAGACAGCGGATGTGTATAAGATAGATGAAGACGTCGAGGACAGCGAGAACGACATGTCGAACTTTGGTGCTTCTGGTGACACCCCTATCGTGCTGGACACGTCGGTAGCTGTGTGGAACCGTCTTACACATTCGCAGAGCACCACGCCCGCACATGCAAAGGGTGTGCAGCGGAAGTCAGGAGAATCGGATACTCTTCGTGGCGCATGGCGAAGCGAAGGCAGGGAGAAGAAGAAGTTGCAGGGACAGGCGCGCAAGCGCGAGGACGATCTGCGGAACAGGTTTTCTGGTTATGCTAGGACTGGGAGTCAGATCCAGGTTGTTGAGCGTGAGGATGAGGATTACGAAGACGACGACGACGACAGAGAAGATGTGGAGGAGGAGGAGAAAGGGCAGACTGAAAAGACGCAGTATGGCGTGAACGGTGAAGAGACTAACGGAGAGGATCAGCTGGATCAGTCGGATGATCTTCCGCCTGCGAGGTCCATATCATCACCTGTGCCCGAACCGGTAGACAAGAGCCAGGACAATTTGGCTCGCTCATCGTCTCCTATAGACGTAGACCTGGATCTCGAGGATAGACAATCCTCATTTCATACCATCGACCTTTCGATATCCGATGACGGATTTGACGACTCACATGTCCACTCCATGGTTGACGAGTCATCTTCCATTCTCCATCATGAAGAAGTCGTTTCTCGTCCTGAGGTAGTTCGTTCGTCTGAAATAAATGGCGGAGACATCACCCTCCGTCTCGATATCGCAAAAATATCTGATGCCTGGTGTCACCTCGAGTGCAAATCTCCAACCGGTGCTGAGGCGGACCAGGCTCCGCCGCCCCTCGTCGCGTCCGCTGCGGGCGTCATGAACACGGAGAATGACGAGAGCGCGGCGAAAGCTCTGTCGCGCATCATTGACAAGAAGGATTTCGCGACGATGGAAATTATGGGACAGTTTAATTTGGGGTTTATCGTTGCCCGCAGGCACAAGGCTGTCAGCGAGGAGAATGGACATGGACCCGCGGGTGGTGTGCTGGATGATCTCTTCATTGTGGACCAACATGCAGCGGATGAAAAGTACAATTTTGAGACTCTGCAACAGACCACCTTTATCAATTCGCAAAAGCTCTTCAAGTAAGTCTTTTGTCAATGATGCCACCATAGTGTTATGATTTTCGTAAACTGTCAGGCCACAGAGAATGGAGCTGACAGCGGCGGATGAGCTCGTTGCCCTGGAAAATCTAGACGTGCTTCGTCGGAATGGCTTTGAAGTTGAAGAAGCTGGCGAGGAGGATGGAGTCAGGCCGGGTGATAGACTTCAGTTGGTGGCTCAGCCAGTCAGTAAGAGTACGACGTTTGATATGAAAGGTAAGCTGTTTTCTCGAATAATTGATTTTCACTCCTCACGCTTTATCTAGATATGGAGGAGCTCATACATCTCATGCGAGATCGACCGGCGGGTCAGATGGTTCGATGCTCCAAGGCGCGGGCGATGTTCGCAATGAGAGCTTGTCGGAAGAGCGTGATGGTGGGGATGCCGCTGAGCAGGCATCAGATGTCTATGGTGTGCTCATCGGCGTCGATCTTCTGGTAGGTGTTCTGACTAATTTATGGAATTTCAGGTCGTCGGACATATGGGAACGATGGACCAGCCGTGGAACTGTCCCCATGGCAGACCAACCATGCGTCATCTTCTCGACCTGCAGAACTTAGAAGCTGCTTTGCCGAGGCCAGTGAGACGAGTTGATTGGTCGAAGTTTCTCAAAGAGTGGTGAAAAGGCTGTTTGTGGATGTATCGGCGGGCATCTTGGGATTGAAGGTTGATGTTTATGTATGTATGAATATTCGTATATTTTTTGATCAATCTACAATTGCAAGGCGCGGTACCGATGCGTTCGTGGATATTTTGGCAAATATTTGTCCACGCCACCGCCGACTTATGTGATACGTTAAGTGGTTTCACTTTATGGGCACATGGTGTAGCTGGTTATCACGCTCGCTTTGCATTGTCACTTCGATTGCGAGTGGTCTCCGGTTCGATTCCGGATGTGTCCAGTTTTGTTCATCTTTCGCATGTATTTTTTGAGGGATGATGGCCTTGTCTTCATCTTTGCGAATTCCGGTGGGGCTTCTGATGCCCACAAATAATATTGGTTTATTAATTTTTGATATACATGACATCCGAGAAGTTTAACAGTACCAAGCCAAGGTCATTTCGCCATGTAACCTTCATGTATTGAACCAGGCAAGTAATGGCCATGAGCGCTGATGGAGAGACGTTGCGAGCTAAGTCTAAAAATGTATGTATATCATGATATGCACTGCAATTATTAATATATCACACCATTGCAGAAGCTACACAATGGACAGAAAGACTTATCAATTTGGTCCAGAACGAGCCCACAGTCTGTAAGTCAGGTCCATCTTATGCTCCGCGATTTTGTTTGCGTGGGATTTAAGTTATGGAGATGGCATATCAATATGGTTACAGAGAAAAGAGCACAAGGAGCAGTCAAACACGAGAACGCAGCGCTATCCTCTATGCTTTGTAATAACCGCCTTGTTGAGCTAAGGCTTCCTCCTCCAATTCAATTTCTGCTTCTTCCTGCGTAAGCGCGCAGGGAGTACAGAAACAAGAGGACAAGCAATCGGTGCAACCTCCCCCTCTGATACCATAGCGACTGCGGATTCGCTCACGATTTCTGATCTACGAATTAAATTCATTGTATTAACGACCTCAGAAGTCCTCTATTTTCATACTATTTTACTCACCTGCAAGATACATGCGACACCGAGAAAAGCCCCGATAAAGCCATAGAGGATGCAATCGTCGTTGCACGTACCCCCATGGTCGGGGTCTGGTGCGTTATTGCGCTCAAGGTATTTCAGACGTCCTTTGTTGGATCCATATACAATACAGGGTAAGCACCATGCCAGGCAACCTATACATACGTGGTTCAACATAGGCTCAGCCAAAGAAAGGGGGGGGGGGAAAGTTCACATGTTCCACAGCTGACGCAATCGCAAAGACCGTGACTCCATTCTCTGCCCTCGCCCTGAATGTCAGGCTTGTTTTTCGAGTTTCTTGGGTTTACAGCCATGCCCTGTTGCATGACGGGCTGTTGCATGACGGGCTGTTGCATGACGGGCTGTTGCATGACGGGCTGTTGCATGACGGGCTGCTGGGCGTTATGATAGGACATTTTGGACGCCTCTGAGTGGGTGTGTGGAGTCAAAATATGATTCGGTGAGAAGGATCTGTAGGATTGATGACCAAGTAATGTGTTTATATAGGTCATTTGGACATATCAACCCCAGGGAAAGAATCAGTCTCATATGACACTGCGCGCTGTCTTCTAATTCAGGAAGCCTGTATGAGATGTACTGGTTGACAAGGCGTTGAATCCGAGGATGAAGACTCTGAATCGGAGCAGCAAACATGACCACGAACATGACCATGCATCCAGAGGAGCAATACACGAGGCTCGAGCTTTATCCAAAGTCTTCAGTACAGAAACTGAGCATTCACAAGGTCGTCAAGTATCGCAAGTATCAAGGGGCATCATTCGATCTCATGGAAGAATCATCAGATGCATTGTTTAGGAGCGTGTCAAGCAAATACTATCAACTTTTTCCCAGGGCCAAATCCACGTGACGTTGGAAGTGACGCCAATTGATCTGGATAGCAGGCGTGCGCAAAAGTGCACTCAAGGAGAACAATAGTAGTGTTGGCAGCTGCGTGTGGTCCGCCAGTCATTTCCCTTTCTGTCCCTTTTTTTCCTTGTTTCTTCCTCTCTCTAAGTCGCCGGAGTTAGTCGATCATTTGGAAGTCAATCATTCGGAAGCCTATCCTCAGGGCACATGGTGTAGTTGGTTATCACGCTCGCTTTGCATGTGATTGCGAGTGGTCTCCGGTTCGATTCCGGATGTGTCCAATGTTATAGTGAATTGTCTCTATTTTTCTGCGACTTTGTTGTATCCTGGAGGCAAGGCCTATCCACCGGTACCCCCTTTGAGTTGTGGCCCATGTGTCCTTGAATGCGAGTCGCTCAAGCTAGTAGAGCTCATCAATTTTATCCAGAGTTGGCCTGGGCCTCTGTATTGTCTGTATTAGAGCATGGACGGTGACGTTGAAAAGCAGAGCCACAGTACGAGTGTTCAGCTCTCTTTCCTTTTTTGCTCGCACTTTGATGAGATGCACGCTATTCCTTGAATGATAAATAAGAAGGCATGGGTGGTTTCATGAGCTCCCCGTTTTTCATGGACAACTCAAGGCCTATGCCACGAGCTCACAAGAATTGATTCACAGACTTCCAGCACACGTATGGCTCACTCTACGGTCGTATCCTGTTAGCAATCCTCTATCTTTAATTACTTCTAGTTCTTCTAGTTTTGTCTGCAGTTCTATTCCCTCTCTTCTCCTCTCCTCTCCTCGTCCCCTCCCCCCACCTTACTCAAACATCCACTCCTCCCCCTCAGCAACCGCATACCCCAACGCAGGCCACATGAGCGCGGCCCCAAGGTCCTCGCGCGCACCGCCCTCCCGGCGTCCCACGACGCCCTGCGATTGAAATACGGCAGTATCCTGTGTCGTGCGAAGTGAGAAGGGGAAGATGTGAGATTATGAGATGTCAAATCGTGAAAATGTGAGAGAAAGGGAGTGGGAGTAGGAAGATGGGAAGTGGGAATGGGAAACGAGGAAACGTCAAACGGAAATGTGGGGAAATTGGGATATAAGGATATGTGAACCGACAAAACAAGGGAAACAAAAGTAAAAAAACAAGGGAAACAGAGAAGCGTGAAACGAGAAAGTGAGAAAGAGAAAGAAATAAGGCAAAGGAAAGAGGACGCACGAGACCGAGGGATACTTTGATCGCGGGTGGCCCAGGAGTGTATTGCTCCAACGGCTCTGGCACTTGCTCTGGCACTTTTTCGTGCGAGGCTCGATTGATCAACCGGAGAACGTTACGCGCCGCGACCTCGCCCTTCGATATAAAGAAAAACAGTGAGAAATGGATTGAATGGCTGGATCGCGCCCAGGAGGAAAACCCGCTCACCTGGTAATACGCATTATGCCCCGCGGCGATAGCGCCGAACGCATCGACGGCGTCACCAATAACAAAAATGTGTGGGTAGGGCGTCGTGTCTTCCGTAGTCTCTGCCTCTGCCGCAGCCTCCGGCGGCGCACGGCACAGCTGCATAGTGCGCAAGACGCGCGCTAGGCAGGTGGCAGGGTCTACCGTGGTAGGGTCGAGGTCGGCGAGGAAGCGCGTGTTGGGCGTTTGGCCTGTGCACATGAGCTGCAAACGGTGAGCCGTGAGAGGAAGTTTGTCTTTGTTGGGGACTCACGACGAGGTCAGCGGCGATCTCTCGGCCAGGGAGCGTGCGCACTGTCCGCGCGCCAATGCACGCCTTTGATGTGCTTGCGTCGAGGGAGGAGAGGTCGAGGCGCTCATTGAGGATGACGTCGAGGTTTGTGATCGTTTCGAGGACTTTCATGGCTGCGTGTGCGGGGCGCGTGAGCGCAGAAAGCAAGTAAATAAAGCAATGCTCACTTTCATCGTGCATGGCCTCATCAAAGCGGGGCAAGAGGCGCTTGCGAGAATGGAGCAGCGTGACCTTCTTCTCCGGGTAGATCGTCGCAATGTCCGTCGCAAATTCTACGGAGGGTGAGAGGGCGCAAGGGACGATGACAGGAACGTACGAATGCCAAGCGCGCCTCCACCCACGACGACGACACTCTGACTGTCCTTGACGATTTCCTGGTGCTGCTTCATCCACGCGATGCCCTGGGGCTTGGTGCCGTGGTAGAGCGGGAGTTTGCTGGCGGGGTCTGTACGCCAGAGGTCGAGCGGGGCAGGGAGGACTGATCCAAGGGCGTAGATCAGATAATCGTACCGCACAACTGGAGACGACAGGCCGTGCTCTGGGAATGCACGGGAGAGAGTGACCGAGTCTGTGCAGATGGATGTGACGGTGGCGTGGAGACAGCGGTGAGACGGGTTTTCCGAAAGGAAGACCTTGGAGAGCGGGATGACTGGACGGGTCAGCGGTGAGTAATGGCAAATCGGGCGGCCGCGTACAGGCTTTATGTTCGTGCCCGGGCAAGACGGACACGCGCGGGAAGATGTAGACATCTGTACACGGTCAGTGGCGTCTAGAAACTGTGGCGTTCCTCACTGTTCATATGTCTACACGTTGGTCAGTACACGGTAAGGCGCGGGCACCGGGCAACGTACGAATTGCGGTCAACGAGCAGCACCCTCCATCCCTCTGGGAGGCCGCCTGCGAGAATCTGCGCTGCGCGACATCCTGCTCGTGTCAGTACAATGCCCACTGTAATCTATGTCAGAACATACCTCCATAGGCCGCGCCGAGCACTACAACAGTCTTTGTGCAAGAATCCATGAGCGGGAAAAATCGCAATTCGCGGCCTTATCAGATAACAAGATAATTTGATCGCTTGGCATCGCGCTCCTTTTTGATCCATCTGTCCATACCCCGTCTCAGTTGAGGTTCTTACACTGATGAATAAATGTCCTATACTGTAATCAATAGACACTTATTCTGCGCTCAAGATGCTGCCGGGCATGTCAAATCAATTAAACTCCGGATGTGTCTCAAGGATGTACAAGCTGAATATGAATTGAAGAAGAGTGGTTGGGCATTGGATCCTCTTGGATCCGATGCAAGAATATCAGGAGAAGATTCTGAGATGCCTGAAGAACTGAAAGTACACAAGCAATACACCAAAGGCCAAGTCCCAGCATTATATCGAGGGAGATAGGATCACAAATTCTGGCATGCCAAGGGAACTATTCTGAGCCCTTCACTGCAGTCATAGTTTCCATGTCTAATCCGGCGGAATAGGTGGCAGCGAAGGTAGCTACGGAGGTGGGCACACGTTTTGTTTTTGTAAATGGATTTCCAAATCAATGATCGATGCGATTCGATTGTGATATTACATACTGACAACGCGCCAGCTTTGGACCCCCCTACTATGTTGGATCAGACAACATATCGATACTGCACATCGATTGCAGATAAGAATACCA